GATGATACCGCAATCCCGACGTACGTATATACCTTGCGCAAAACATTTCTCGTCCCGCCCTCCACCCCGCCCAACCCCCTTCCACTCCCCCTTCCAAACTCCCCCCACCCCCCAACACACACACACACACCCCAACGCACCANCAGTTGCGCCGCCCTAGTGACCAGCTCCCCCGTCCCCGGACCCGTCAGCGCCGCCAACCTCCTCAGCAGGGGCCGGTATTGGGCGGGGGCGGGTAGCACCAGACGGGCCATAAGGCCCAGCACCAGCTTGCTCTTCAGGGGGAGACCCTGGTGACTCAGCTGTACGACATGATGGCCGAGAGGGGGAGGGAAAGGGGGGTGCGGGAGGGGGGGAAAGACGAACCACACGCGATTGAAGCTGCTGCCAGGGCAAGATAGTAGCAACCGAAAGAACTGACGGAAATCGGGAGGGGGGAAATTGAAATCAATGCGAGGAAAGGAGAGGGGAGGGGAAAAGAGGATTGAGTTGAGGGTTAAGGGCATAGCAAAAAGCGGGAAGGTGGGTGAAGGTATGTGGGTGTGGGTGGATGTGAGGATATGTTGCGGGATACGTGGGGGTGGTCATGTGCACCTAACTTCATTAATAAATGCCACATACACACATACAGACATACAGACATACAGACATATACGCAGTACCCATCTCCCTCCTCCCTCCTCCCCCCTCACTCACCACCAGGTCCAGCACCACGGACAGCTTCCCAGCATGCTGCTTCCGGAGCGCGTCAATGGCCTCCTGGTCCGTGGTGACCCCCGGGTCGCCCGCATCCCGCCGCGCCGCACTGAACGCCTCCTCCACCGACAGGAACGCCTCCAGCAGGTCGCTCACCACGGAACGGGCGTAGGCCTGAGGGCAGTACAGGGCAGTACAGGGCAGTACACGTGCAGTACACGGGCAGTACAGGAGAGCTGTGTGGTAGGGCTGGATGTGGGGGGAGGTGTAGAGGTAGGTAGCGAGGGAGGGAGAAAGGGAAGGAGGAGGGGGAATGACGACAAAGACGCGGAGGCAGAGATGGAGGGATTCGGCCCGGCATGGCCCGTGGCGCAAGAGGCGTCGGGAGGCAAACTGCACGCACACCGGCCCGTGATTCCTGCAACTACGACATGTACGGCATATACATGTACGGCAAACACATACACACACCTGGCGGCCCCCCGCGTGGGCCTTCGCCAGGCGCAGTAGCGGCTCCAGGGCTGTGGCCAAAGCCGCACGATCCGCCGCGGGCGCCTCCTGCCGGGGGGTTGCGGGTAGGTGGGCGGGGCCCACGGTGTGTGGGGGGGAGGGAGGTGGGGAATCGTGTGCGAGGAGGCGGGTTCCAACGCCCGAAGCCGTGAAGCCGCACTCTGCCGGGGGGTACCAAGCGCCTCACACTGGGCCCAGCATTTTACGTTTTGTTGCCGGGTGGAAGTGACTGCGGTGTGGTGGGGGGTGGCCCCATGCAGCATCTCCATCAACCAGAACTCCAAAAAAACGTACGTCCCTCACCTCTAACATCGCCGCCCATATTCAAAAGGAGTTTCCCGCGGCGGCTTATTAGCTACCGTACATACGTGTATACATGTACATACATACATACATATATACGTACCTTCACCCAAGCAAGACATGAAAGGCGACACGTACGCCGTGCACAGTCCGCCGCCACCTCCCTCACCTGCATAGCCCGCTCCATCACCTCCGCCACCGCCGCCGCAGGGAAGTCGCCCACATGCAAAAACGGCTGAGTTCTACCTCCGCCACCGCCACCACCGCCGCCACCACCACCACGGGGCGACGCCAGAGCTTCCGCTGCCGCCGCCGCCGTCCCATTTCCACCATCCCCCGTACCACCGCCGCCGCCGCCAGCGGCGGCGGCGGCTCCGTCACCGTCCTCGTCTCCCTCCGCCACGATTGCGGCCGCCTCCGCCGCCTCCACCGCCGCCTGCACCTCCGCCGAGTGCGGCGCCACCGCCGCCTCCAGCGCCGCCGCCAGTGCTCCCGGCATCCGGCCCCGCACCACCGCGAACTCCGCCGTCCACTGCAACAGCGCCAGCGAGGGGCTGTCCAGGCAGGTCACCAGGTCCTCCACCACCTGTGCTCATACACACAGGGGGGAGCGGGGGGAAGGGGGGTTACGACGAAACACAGACGATCGACCCCGGAGAGGGAGGGCGGGAGGGAAGGGGAGAAGGGGAGGAATGAAATGTAGAGTTGCGTTTCACAGCTCTCCAAAAATTCAAAAAAGTGTGAAAACGAGGAAAGGCCCCAAACACCCCTGGAGCCATGCGGGGCCCTGTGTCTGAGGGCGCCAGTCTAGGGCCGGAGGCTGTCTGAAAATGGATATTATATAGATATCGTGGGAAACGCGTTAAAGACTATTGTCCCATAGGAAAGGAAAAGGAATCTTTTTGTCGAACCAACCGAACCGGTATTTGCGGCGCTCTTCAGGCCGATGCTGTGGACAGCCTTCCGTACATACACACGCATTCATCCGTACACCCACCCGCCCATCCCTTCCATTCCCACCTGCTCATGCGGCACCACGTAACCGGCCAGCAGTGACCGTGCCGACTCCACGGCATTCGCCAGTACGGCATCTACGCGATTCGACATGATCTGCACGGCAATGTACGGAGAACGGAAAACATTATAAGAAGTGGGTCGCAGTCATGCAACATTAAAAGTTGCATGGATGGACATGCAGGCATACAAACAGCCATACAGACAGCCAGACAGACAGACAAGCAGGCAGGCAGGGGGAGCACACAGACAACCCAATACGCAGCCCCTCCCTCACCCCTCCCACACCCCTCCCACACCCCTCCCTCACCCCTCCCTCACCCCTCCCTCACCCCTCCCTCACCCCTCCCTCACCCCTCCCTCACCCCTCCCTCACCCCTCCCTCACCCCTCCCTCACCCCAGCCCCTCCAAAACCCCACCTCGCCTCTACACATACACATACATACATACACACTCTACCTGCGGGGGTCCTAGCTCCGGAAACGTGCCGGGGTATGGTTCCGGAGCCGCCACCGCCGCTCCCTCGTCCAGTTCCAGGGAGGCAATGAGCTCTCCCGCCGCCACCACCCCCCCCTCCGGCGCCACCCAGCGGATGACCCCCGCGGCGGGGGACAGGAGCGGCATCACCATCTTCATGGCCTGCGGGAGGGAAAGAGGGGAAAGACGAACCACGTGAACGAGTGAAGCTGCTGCCAGGGCAAAAGAGTGTACAAGAAGTATATAGCTGACCAAAAGGCGTTCAAAAGTTCGTCCAAAAGGGGTTGCGGGGTGCGGGTTTGGGGGATGCTGGGACAGGGATGGGGGAGATTGCCTACACACAGCACACACACCTTCGCTTCGATTTTATAGGTGCACGGCTCACACACACCATCAGGCTTACAGGCAACCATTCAAACCAATGTGTAACCCCGGGCTATCTACCTCCCAATCGGGCGAAACAAGAATGCACCTGTCCAGAATAAAAAGACCGACACGCTGATTTAAGGTTCATTTCTCTCTCTCCTTCCAGAGAGCATATCTCATCCACACACCGCACCACACGAGCTTATACACACACACACACACACACAGGCAAACCCTCTCGTACGGCATCCTCATTAGCGGTACATGTCCCGTACCTCCATCTCTCCGTAGGGCTGGTCCCGCTCCACGCGCGTCCCCGACGGCATGAGCCGGCGCATGATCTTCCCGGGTGACGAGGCTGTGAGCCTGGAGGGGTCCACCTCCGCCGCCAGCAGCACCGTGAGGCCGTTGATGAGCAGCCGGGTGCCCGCCGCCTCGTCCTCGTAGTGGATGACGTGCGCCTCGCCGTCAACCTGGGGATCGGGACATCCGTTTCATTTACCAGGTCGGTAAGGGCAGAGAGGGGAGGGGGGGAGGGGAGGGAAGGGCAGAGGGGAGGGGAGGGGGGGAGGGGAGGGCAGGGCAGAGGGGAGGAAGCGTGTGGAGCAGGATATGACGGGGAGAGCGAAGGAAATGGGGAACAGAACACGCAGAAAGAAACACCCGGAGGTGTACATGAATATAGCGTTGCATTGCAGGTAAAAAACCTAGGAGAGAAAAGCTAGGAGAGGATTTTTCATTCCAAGGTATTGAAGGGGCGCGCGCTGTGGGTCAATGGAAGGATTACCCCACCCCCCCGCTCCTCCTCCCCTNACCCAACACCTCCCTCCATCCC